TGGCATTATACCCCCATTAAATGCCCTCCCCTCCCCAAATGCTCCACCCCCCAAATCTCCAGATTTTCCCCAACCCAGAGCTGGCAACCTTGACCACCACTCACAAACACACACACACAAACACATGAAGCTGCCTCATACTGAATCAGACTTTTTGGGTCCACCAACGTCAGTATCGTCTCCTCAGACTGGTAGTGGCTCTCCAGGGTCTCGGGCAGAGGTCTTTCACATCACCTACTGCCTGGTCCTTTTCAACTGGAGATGCTGGGGACTGAACCTAAGACCTCCTGCATGCAAAGCAGAGGCTAAAATACAACGATGGAATATTCTTGGAGGAATTTTAGAGGCACCCAGCTGTGTATTTCCTGGCACCTATTTACTTGTTGCTAAGAGTCTGTAATGGGACAGGGAGCTTCGGGGGACTCATCCTAGACAACCACATCACATCTGCACTCCCTCGGCTTGGCCTAGACACAGATCTTATTTCTACGACATTGGCAAACTCTCCTTGTGGCTGCAGAGGGACCAAACCTTCCTCTTTCTTCAGACACTTGCCCAAACAGCCTCTCACAAAGAGCCAATCCCTGTTCTCCTCTGCCTCGTTGGAGCTGAAGGTGCTTCAGAACAGCCCAAAAGACCTAAGAACTTAAGAGAAGCCATGTTGGATCAGGCCAATGGTTCACTCAGCCCAACACTCTGTGTCACACAGTGGCCAAAACCCAGGTCCCATCAGGAGGTCCACTCATGGGGCCAGAACTCCAGAAGCCCTCCCACTGTTGTCCCCCAAGCACCAAGAAGACAGAGTATCACTGCCCCAGACCTAAGAACATAAGAGAAGCCATGTTGGATCAGGCCAATAGCCCATCCAGTCCAACACTCCGTGTCACACAGGAGCCAAAACCCAGGTGACATCAGGAAGTCCACCAGCAGGGCCAGAACTACAGAAGCCCTCCCACTGTTGCCTCCCCAAGTACCAAGAAAACAGAGCATCACTGCCCCAGACCTAAGAACATAAGAGAAGCCATGTTGGGTCATGCCAATAGCCCATCCAGTCCAACACTCTGTGTCACACAGGGGCCAAAACCCAGGTGACATCAGGAGGCCCACCAGCGGAGCCAGAACTCTAGAAGCCCTCCCACTGTTGTCCCCCAAACACCAAGAATATAGAGCATCACTGCCCCAGACATTGCTCCATCTATACCTTGTGGGTAATAGCCACTGATGGACCTCTGCTCCAGATGTTTATCCATCCCATTTGTGCCTGCAGAGACAATCACTGGGAAGTAGCTGAAAGATATCACTTGGCTATGGACTTTATCAATGTTGCTAGTGTCTGTGTCCCTACAACACCTGATTTGCGGTTGCAACTGCAGGGCCCCCCCCAAAAAATTCCTGAAGTGCTCACTTTAGTTTAAACAATTTCATACCTGGCAGGGGGAAACACCTTGATCATGAAGGAGGCTTTCCCAGGGTGAGGCTCACCCACTGCACTCTGGGTGTGGTGACCCATGTGATTTCCCCAAACGCAAATAAGTCTAGCTCGCCACCTAATGGTGCATGTTGCTAGAGCTTAAGGCTGCCAGACAATCTTGGGATCTCCTGGCTACGCTACATACGATGCTGTACGACATTCTAATTTCTTTTATTCTACTTTCAGATATGGCTAACAGGTATAAAATAAACGTTACCATATAACTGAAATAAGACGAATTATTTTGGATACTAAATTCAACTACTCTATTGAAACTGGCAAATTTAGAGGCAAAGAAAGGGGAAAGGAAAAAGTAGAAACAAAATGTAAGAACACAAAGACAGATAAGCAGGTTAAGTGGAACATGATTCTGCGTTTCTAATTACACTTCCTGTCTGATAGGTTGACCACCATTCTTACACAAGGATTTCTGTTATCAGCTAGCCAAATGTCTCAGACAAAGTTCATACACCATAACCTACAGTAGGATGCCCTAATCAGTTAAGACAGTACGGGCAGCTGTCCGTTGGTGGATTAGGGTGGGTATATACCTATCCATGCTTTTAATGCCAACAAAGCTCAAATACTTGGAGATTCACAGACTTGGAGAGGAGCCCATTGGTGGTGGTGGAAAGTTGCCATCAAGTTGTAGCTGACTTAGGACAACCCCATAGGGTTTTCAAGGCGAGAGACGAATACAGGCGGTTTGCCATTGAACGCCTTTGCGTAGCAACCCAGGTCTTCCTCGGCGGTCTCCCATCCAAGTACTAACCAGGGCCAACCCTGCTTAGCTTCTGAGATCTGGCAAGGTCAGGCAAGCTTGGGCCATCCAAGTTTGGGCAAATTAGCCCATGAGAACATGATTATTTTCAAACAGATCAGTAATGAGCCAGTCTGTAGCGTCCGGGAATTAAACCCTTGCCGGCAGTCAGACCAAAAGCCCTCTTGAACAGAGACCTTATGATGACTAAAGCATGCACAGATACATACACACAAAGTCCGTTCCAAATTTTCCGTCATCTTCTAACGCCCATGAATCAGACCCTGGACCGCTGACTAGCCCACAAGAGCTTAGCTAAGATAGGTCCACATGTTCCCTCCTCCCCTTGGGCACAGTCAGCTAATGGAGGATTTCCTGAATTTCCCCACCAATCCAGAGCTTGGCACTATGTTTTGACCGGGGTTGAAAAAGGTGCATAATCCTGGTTCGCAGGGAAAACGAAAGCCAGTGTACAGATTCCTGAGCCTCATTCTCATGGCAACAAACCATTGTTAGGATTGGAAGGGATACGACTGAGATCGGAGAAGACCTTCGGGCCATCTGCTGCTCAGTGTAGGTCCCCTGTCCAGGAGTGACCGTAACTGCCCTTGCTGAGCTTCAGCAATGTGACTGTATCACATGGCCTCGGCTCCTTCTTCTAAATCAGATCTACAGTGACTGATCTCCAGGGCTATTTTGGGGCAGGAACGCACAGGAACGGAGTTCCGGCTGGCTTCCATGTTGGCCAAACCCAGCAGGAACTCATTAGCATAATAGGCCACACCCAACAGCAGAAACTCATTAGGATTGGCTACATTAGGGGTGTGTGACCTAACATGCAAAGGAGTTCCTGCTACAAAAAAGCCCTGGGTTTGGACAACAAAGAAGGTAAACAGAATAAGAAGCAAAAGGTGGGTGTGGCTGGATGACCACGCTTCTGGTAACATCGGTGTGCGGCCTAATATGCCAATGAGCTGTGCTGTCAGGGGTGTGGCCTAATGTGCTAATGAGTTTCTGCTGTGGGTGTGGCCTATTATGCTAATGAGTTCCTGCTGGGCTTTTTCTACAAGAAAAGCCCTGCTGATCTCTCTCTCTATATGTATATCTAGTAGTTCTGTGTGCCCCTACTCCCTTCTTATCAGAGGAGAAGGTGAATGGGGAAGGAAGTGAGAGACAGAGCTAGGAGTGTGAGTGAGAAGAATCCAGCAAAGAGTCGGGGGGTTATTACTTCTCTCTTGGTGAATCCTCATGGGCCCTTTCTTATGAAGACAAAATGAACACATTTAAGAGCTTATAATAGGAAACATTAAACAGGAGAACCTCAAGTTCGTCAGTAACAAGGAAGCCAGTCGATAGCACCTATAATATACCTTAAACCAACAATCAAGTCAAAAGCCCTCCTTGAAAGAAATGTTTTCACTCATTTCCAATAATCTATATATACACAAGCCAACTCCTGTCAAACTTTGGTGGGACCGAAAGACAGAACTCAGGGTGGATGAGCTAAAAAACAAGAAGCTGGTTGGGTTGAATAGCATTCAGAAGTGTCCAACTTGAATTGCTGATCTTTTAACTAATTTATTGAATATTAGGGATGGGCACGAACCTCCTCATGAATCTACGTTCAAGCAAACACCCACCAGGTTCATGGTTTGCAAACTGAGGTTCATGCCCATCCCTATTTCACAACCCTCCATGTGGTTGTTGGAGGTATGTGTGGGGGGGAATGAGAGGGATTGCTGAAATGGCTTTGCTCTATTTTAGCCTAACAGGCAAGCCACTTCAGTGATCCCTCATTCTCCCCCCCCCACAACCTGGTTCCAAGCATTCCCTATAAATCACTTTCACATGCAATCACCTCATGGGAGTGAAGTCCAAGCGGCTAATTCACCACTTCTAGGTTAATTGGCTGCTTGGACTCCACTACCATATGGTGTCCGCTTGCAAAAGCCATTCCCTTTAAATGGTTTTTGCAAGTGGGCACCATGTGGGAGTGGAGTTCAAGTGGTGAATTCACCTGGAAGTGGTGAATTCACTCCTGCACAGCGCCTGTTTGTAAAAGCCATTTAAAGGGAACATTCCTGTCAGATGGCTTTTGCAAGATCTTCCCATTCCTTCTATTCTGCTGGCATTGGGAACCTGCCACCAGCAGAAAGGAGGGAGGGAAGATCTCTCAAGAAGAGAAATCTCCCCCCCCTTCCATTCTGCTGGCCTCAGGAAGCCTCCCCCAGCAGAAAGGAGGGAGAGATGATCCCCGAACCTCACGAACCCAGATCAGTTTATTAAGTAGCGGAATTTCGTGGTTTGTGTGACCTCATGAAACATCAACTGGGACCCCTCGCCATTTTCCTGGTTTGTGCCCATCCCTATTGAATATATCATGAAAACTAATGGCTATATTACATTGAACTTGTAAGGAAGCAAAAGTATTATCCATGGATACAGCTTTCCTCATTGTCCAACTACTGAATACATTTCCCTGGTGTTTCCATAGGGAACAAGTGAAATGCAGAAAAGCAAAGGAAGTATAGAATGAGCGACTCTCTGTGCTGCTGATATTCTTATTGGCTGTGGACTCTAGGATATGAAGCTAGGATTCTACCCATTCCAATGTTCTTTCCATACTAAGGCATTTGTAGTTATTGTCTCTAATGTTCTCACATTTTACTGTTGATTTATCATGCAAATTTCTTTAGACAACCCACCCAAGTGAAATCTTTGTTCTTGCTCTGTTTACGGACAAGAGCTTTCCCCACAATCTGAGCATTTCTACTGTTTTTCTCTAGTGTGAATAAGCATATGTCTCATAAGATTTGAGTGCTGGCTGAAGCCATATCCACATTCCTGATATTTAAATGGCTTCTCCCCAGTGTGGATTACTTGGTGTCTAAGAAGGTTTGAGTTGTGACTGAAGCAGCTTTTACACTCCAGGCACTGATATGGTTTCTTCTTGGTTTGAGATCTTGGATTGCTTTGCATCTGACTGGAGCCCTTTTTACATTCCCCTGTCTGCATATTTTTATGCCTCTTAAGAGTTATGCTGTGACTGAAGCTTTTCCCACAATCCATGCATTTAAATGGTTTCATATCGGTGTGGATTCTTTGATGGTTAATTAGTCTTTTGCTCAGTGTAAAGCTCCTTCCACATTCCAAGCATTTGTACGGTTTCTCCCCCGTGTGCAGTATTTGATGTATTATGAGGTTCGCATTCCGTGTGAATTTCTTTCCACATTCGGAACAGTGATATAGTTTTTCCCCAGTGTGGCTTCTTTGATGGGCAGTAAGGCTTGAATTCTGAATAAAGCTCCTTCCACACTCCAAGCATTTATACGGCTTCTCACCTGTGTGTGTTCTTTGATGTATTATGAGGTTTGCACTCTGCATGAAACTCTTTCCACATTCTGAACAAATATATGGTTTTTCTCCCGTGTGGGTTCTTTTATGTACAATGAGGGTTGTACTCCGCATAAAACTTTTCCCACACTCCAAACATGTATATGGTTTTTCGCCTGTGTGGATTCTTTGATGTATGATGAGGGTTGTACTCAGCATAAAGCTTTTCCCACAGTCCAAACATTTATACCGTTTTTCGACTGAGTGGGTTCTTGGATGTACAGCAAGATTTGCACTCCGTCTGCAGCCCTTTCCAGACTCGGGAAACTGAAATGGTTGTTCCCTCATATGAATTCTTTGATGTCGAAGAAGGCGTGTGCTTTCATTAAAGGTCTTTCCACACTCCAGACATTTAAATGGTTTTATTCCCGTGTGGATTCTTTGATGAAGAGTCAGGCTTGACTTCACAATAAAGCTTTTCCCACATTCCAGACATTTATATGGTCTTTCTCCCGTGTGAATCCTTTGATGCAAGATAAGAGTTGTGCTCTGTATGAATGTCTTTCCACATTCAAAACATTTGTACCGTTTCTCTCCTGTGTGTGTCCCTTGATGGATATTAAGACTTGACTTCTGACTGAAACTCTTTCCACATTCCAGACATTTATATGGTTTCTCTCCTGTGTGGATTCTTTGATGAAGAGTAAGGCTTTTCTTCAGACTAAAGCTTTTTCCGCATTCCACACACTGATAGGGTCTTTCTCCTGTGTGGATTCTTTGATGCAAAATGAGGTTCGTACTCAGCATAAAGCTTTTCCCACATTCCAGACACTTATACCGTTTCTCTCCTGTGTGAGTTCGTTGATGTACAGTAAGAGTTGAAGGATGGCTAAATCTCTTCCCACACTCCAGGCAGTCATATGGTTTCTCCCCTGTGTGGGTTTTCCAATGCACTTTAAGGGTCGATATACTAGCAAAGCTCTTCTCACAGTCAGAGCACTGAATCCTTCCCTTCCCTTTGTATATTGTTTCTTGGTCATCACCATTCCGATAAGCAACAGCTTTACTGCTTCTTTTATCCATGCTGCGTCCTTCCTGATTTCCAGCATTCAGTTTCATGTCCAGATTCTTATTGCTTCTCTCTAATATCGGATGAGCTTCATTTTCATCTGCTCTGCCCCACACGTCTCCTATTGAAACAAAGAGAATTTTGACATCAGTGCAAAGAAGAAGAGGAACATCCGATCGGGGAAATAAGCTATTCGTCTACTGTGGAGAATGAGGACTTGATGGGGAAACAGGCCCGTAGCCAGGATTCTGTAGCTTGTGGGCACCGTTCCCTCTAAGCTGAGCTAGTGTGAGCCAGCTCACAGTTCTTTAGCCTCCGGCTCACCCATTTTCATCTTAGCTCAGGAAGGGATGGGCTCCAGAGCAAGCTAATTTTTTAAAAAAATATTTCAATTTTTCAATTTACATCAACAGAAGAACAACAAAACCTTAATGGAATACAATTAAAACCATAACATGAATGGAAAGGTATTAGTATATATTATACTTGCAGTTCTAGATGAAGCTGTTAATATTACATCGTATGAACAATATCATAATATTTCTTTGGGACCTGAACAGTTTTAGATGAATTGTTGTTGAAAAAGTGTTCAAGGAATGGAAACCATTTAAGGTGGAAATCACTATGTCCGGACAGATTAGAAAATGAAGACACCTTATCTGAAAGCTTATCCATTGAGTATAACTCCCAGGGTTTGTTGTACCAAAGTGAAAAAGTTATATTATTTGTACTTTTCCAAGTATTAGCTATGATAGTTTTTGCTGCTACCATGAAGATTGAAATAAGTTCCCTTCTAATTCTAGGAATAGTTTGATCATTCCAAAGGTCTAATAGATATGTTTCTGGGGAAAGACCAGAGCAAGCTAATTAATTGATGCAGCAGCCAAATCGCTCGCTCACAACTTTAATGCCAGGAGCTCACAAAGTAGGATTTTTGCTCAGAAGACTCCACAGCTTAGAGGGAACATTGCTTGTGGGGCAAATTTTTTTCTGGTGGGGCTGCCATTTTTGCCATTATTTTTCCGTCTGTATACAACTGTACAGAACAACCTGTGTCCTTAGAACCATTTGTGCCCCTTTTTCTTGCCCTGAACTCGCAGTAGATTCTCCCAAATGCAAAACCCATTTGGCAGATATTGAGGGGGAGACGAGGCAGGAAAGGGAACCTAGTATTGATGCTCCCCCCCCCCATTTCTTTCCTCCTTGCTCTCCCAGGTCCCTTCCCTAGAATAACCTATGATCCTTTCATCCAGGGGTCATTTCGTAGAAAAAGAGGTGCAGGAGCGCATTAGCACAACTCATTCGCATAATTGATTTGCATATGACATACCCCCTAACATCACCGGAAGTGTGTCAGAAGGCAACACCCACCGCTCAGGCTCCACTGGACTGTTTTGGATTGGGGGGGGGAGGGGAGAAACGTGCAGATCTTACATAAAATTTGACAAGTAAAACAACAATCTCTTCTTATATATAATTGAATAGTGGGTGCCAAAGTTCTAATTCTAAAATGCACTCCCTTAGTGTATGGCTGATGGCACTGCTCCTCAGCGTATATCGCCACCAATCAGAAGCCAAAGCCCGGGTCCCGCCCACACCACAACTGCTGCGACAACCTGGTCTTTTGCATATGGAAGCTGATTGGACTTCATTCCACACCTCAAACTCCCCCCCCCCGCAAGGCAGTTGGAATTTTCAGTTGCATAACATACCTCATAGGGGAGAGGAGAATGGGTAACAATGGTTACCACTCTCCAGGTGAGGGCTACAGATAACTCAAACATACAAATGCTCTTCAGGTAGCAGAGATCAGTCCCTCTGGAGAAAACAGTGGACTCTGTCATTAAACCCTGCTGAGGTCGCCACAGGAAACTGACACTGTTTGCCCAAAGCCAGAGCACTCTCCGAGAGCCTCTTTCTAGATCCCGTTGTATTTATTTCCGCAACGGGCATTATTTCTAGTTATAAATATAGCTCTAAAAACAAAACTTAAAGTGCTAGTATCAGTTTATACGGCGATGGCAGTAATAGCAGCAGGCACGCTAAAAATACAGCCAGCTCTAGCTTCAGAGTTCTATCATGTTTCTTCCCTCCCCTCTCCTGGAGCCTCCTCGTAAGTCCTCCGCCAGCCTCACCCGGCAACCCTACTAGTCGCACACACACTCGGCCTAATGTCCCTCAAAGGGTTGTTTGATGATAAAATGAAGAGGAGGAATGACGTAAGCTGTTTGGGGTGACCATTGTGGAGAAAGGTAAAGGTAAAGGTTCCCTTGCTCGAAAGCCAGTCGAATCCGACTCTAGGGTTGCGGTGCTCATCTCCGTTTCAAAGCCGAAGAGCCAGCGCTGTCCGAAGACGTTTCCGTGGTCATGTGGCCGGCATGACTAAACACCAAGGTGCATGGAACGCTGTTACCTTCCCACCGAAGTGGTCCCTATTTATCTACTTGCAATTTCTTGCTTTCGAACTGCTAGGTTGGCAGGAGCTGGAACTGGAGACAGGAGCTCACTCCATCATGCGGCACCCGGGTCTCGAACTGCTGAACTACTGACCTTCCACAGCCTGCAGTTCAGCGTCTTAACCACTTGAGCCACCGCAGCTCCTGTGGAGAAAGGCAGGATGTGAATGAAGGAAATAACACTGGTGACCTTGAGTAGGTGGAAAGTTGACATATAGAAGGGTGTTAAATAAAATAAACAATAAATCCTTTCACCCTTCGAAGAAGATCGCTTCTTATCCCAGAAATGCATATGTTTATCTTGGCTGAGTGTTGAAAGGGTTCTGTGGACTGAAGTTCTCTGATGTCATCCACTCTGGTATTAAAAGACGTTATCTTGTTATTGGTTAATTTCCCAACAATTAAGATGCATGTTGCCCGTGATATTTTTTTCCTTCTTCGCCATTCTAACATCATCCTCCCACTAGGAAAAAAAAAATCTCACTTTCATCATCCGTAGTTTGGGAGAAAACACCCTTTGCCAATCTTTTTGGAGATCCCTCAAGGATTCTTCTTGCCTCCGGGTCTTCCTGCTGCCCCTCTGTCATGGTCTTTTTATCTGTGGGAGACAGAAAAGAACTGTAGAAATCCCTGAAACCTCAGTCCCATTCTCAGCAAGACAGGAGATGCCAAGAAGGAAGAAAATGAAGGGGGAGATAGGGAAGCAAAAGATACAGACACAAGATCAGTGCGGAGAAACCCCGTCACAACTCATCCAATTTCTTCTGAGGAGAAGGAACTCATAGGAGGTCTCTACTGTGGGGTTGCGGCACAGAGGCTTATTCAAGGTTCTGCTTTTAACCTATGAAACCTTACACAGTTTGGGTCTGAGGTCTTTAAAGAACTACTTTCTGCCATATAGATCAAGATAGGTAGCCAGCAAATGACAATAGCAGGTGAATGACAATAGCAGGCATGATTGGATTTAGGTGAGATGTGCAGAGGGGTAGGGGTCATTTCATAGAAAAAGAGGTGCAGGAGCTCATTTGCATAACTCATCAGCATAACTTATTTGCATGTGCCACACCCCCTGACATCACCGGAAGTGTGTCAGAAAGCAACACCCACTGCTCAGGCTCCATTGGACTGTTTTGGATTGCTAGCTATTGGGGGGGGGGACGTGCAGATCTGCTCTCACAGAGGAGGGAGAGCTTGTACCTGAATAAAACTTGGTCTTAAAGGTGACACTGGACTGTTTTGGACTGGGGGGCCGGGAAGAACTCTGCAATTTACCTGGCTGCTTCTTGCTCTGACTGAGGGCTGCTGGGAGGAGGGAGCGGGGCTTGTTGCATGTCCCCGCCCCCTGGGCTCTTTACTGCCGGAGCTCCGCTCCTGTGCGCTCCTACAGGAAATGACCCCTGCAGAGGGGTAATAAGCGTGGAGAAATCAGCATTGGTAATGAGACAGGAAACCTAGGTCTCGATTCAATCCAGGTGGATGCATTGCCTTGAGCGTCATTATCGATTGCAATGCTGAACTGCAAATTCATTCACCTGCTATTGTCATTTGCCTGCTAATGCCATTTGGCATCTGAAATCACTCCGCTTTCCAATAAATAGGACAGATGGACGCCCATTCTAGATGTATCTGAAAAAGTGAGCAGTGACTCATGAAAGCTCATCCCCTGCCACATATTTTGTTAGTCTTTAAGGTGCTACTGGACTCTTGCTTTTTTCTATTTCTGCCCATATAGACCTCCACATTCGGGGCAGTAAGCCTCTGAATAGCAGTGCTTCTCCCAAAAACCTAGAACTCGAAGGCTGACGGGCAATAAGTTCAGGATGGATCACAGGAAATACTACTTTACACACAGAGTGATTAAAAAGTGGAACTTGCTGCCAGAGGATGTGATGGCTACAGGAATGAACAGCTTTAAAGGGGGATTCTATAGATTCATGGAGGAGAAATCGATCAATGGCTACTAGCCATGGTGGCTGAAGGGACGATCCATATTCAGAGGCACTAATCCTCTGAGTCCCAGAGCCAGGAGGCAACATCAGGAAAAGGCTTCAGCCTTTATGCCCTGTTGTTGGTCCTCCAGAGGAACTGGTTGGCCCCTGTGTGAGACAGGAGGCTGGACTATACGGATCATGGGTCTGATCCAGCAGGGCACTTCTGATGTTCTTATTCCTGCCTGGGTACTCTGTTCACCATCACAGACCCTCCTTCAAGTCCACCCCCACCCCCCACTTCAGGGACAGGATGAATGGCAATAAGAGATGCTCCCAACTTTGGAAGGCCCTCCCTCCTTCCCTGTGCCAGGTTCTTATCTTTGAAATTTGAAGAGGAGAAAATGACAGAAGGGATTGGGTGGGGACTGTCATCTACCATTGTCAGCTTAAAAAAAAAAAATTAATGGTGGTGCCAGTAAGAGAGAAG